GCTTGAAATCTACAAAAAGACTGGCGGTAAGTGGATCACAGTCGTCTAGACTGCAATCGCAACACAAACAGCAGAACGGTGGGTGCCAACAGGACACTAGATGATGTGCCGCGATCTGTATTGAGTGCAATGTCTCAGTAAGACGGCCTCAGAACACTTCCATGCTTTTTCAGGCAGCTTCTAGTGCTGACAGGCTGCGGCTTTCAGATCATAAGAGGGAGAGGAAGATACCGTGTCAGACAAAGGTGCTGCAAGTCTCCCAAGGAGTTCTGAGATGGAAGATGATGCGTAGGAGGAGGAAATACAGCCATTAGTTACCGCATAACTTAATGGACCCTCCTCCATCAGCAGGTCAGGCAGCCTCACACCATCAACGGGGGCCCACGGCCCCTCCCCCAGATGTTTCATAGACTAAGTACATAGCTATTGAGTAGAGTCAAAATATTGTACGTAACCTGACTCCTAGCATAAGGAATGTACAGTGGTACCTCGGTTACCACTGTAACCGAGGTACCACTGTACATTCCTTATGCTTACCCCTGTCCTGCCCCGATCGTCCGCTCCTTCCGTGTGTCACGCCCCCTCGTTAACCTCGTGTGGGATCCCCATGTGATCAGCTGTTTCTGGTTGTTGTCATTAGTCCTCTGTATTAAGTCCACGTTTCAGTTTGTTTCCCCAGTCCGGTCATTGGGTACGTTCGACTGCTTTAAGTGCTGGCTTAAGGCAACGCATTCTGATCCTGACGCAATGCATTACGGTTAGATGCATTGCAACCTCTCACCCGGCTGCACAAACTGGAACCGACACACCTTTGCCCTTATTGGCTGAAGAGTTTAGTTACACGCATGACGTTTGTATCCCAGGCAGTTCCGATGCGTAATCTGCTATTTCTCCCGAATATCACGTAAAGCAGTGAGAACTGGTTTTCAGTTAATTTACCTGGTAAAATAAAGTTTAAATAAATGACATAAATGCTCTAATAGTACACGTAAGTTAGTGGTTTATATATTGTTAGTTACTGTAATGTTGCGCTGCTTTATTTGGTTAATCGTCCAGTCTGTGAAGAAGGCATTCAAGTAAGAATTGCATTGTAGTATAACTCATTTCCTGGCGCGTACAATTTATATTAGGTCAGCGTTCACAGTTCGACTTCTGATATTCAGATCGAGTTCTAGGTCAAACTGGTTTGTTCGACTTTCAAGAAATTCGAGTTCTAGTGAGTTCGAGAACCGAGGTACCACTGTATTTATTTGTATTAATGTTTAGTTTAGTAACAGGCGATCCCCCACCCCTACTCAGATGTTTCAGAATCTATATAAATATCTGGTCAGCAGAGTCAGATGATCATAGCTAGCTAGTTAGCAGAACATGTTTCTACTAAATAAGGAACACGTTGATATGATATATATTTAGTGTGGTGACTGTTTGTGGCCAGCAGGGGGCCCCCTAAAAAATGCATGGTTTGAGTGGTGGTAAACACCAGTGCTCATTATCACAGAGCGTTCGTGCTTCTAATGGTCTTCTGTAATAAAATAGACGGCATTCAGCCCACGTCTCCCTCCTCACCTGGAAGCATGACACGGTGCGCGTGTGACGGATTGTGGCGCTGCAGGACAAGGACCCCACCATCTCCCTCACCCACCACTTCTACATGCTCTCGTTTCCCTTTTGGCCATAGTAGCTGAAAAATCGCCAGACCATAAAAAATGACAGTATTGCCTAAATGTTTGGTCATAGGAGCCCACGGCGATGCAGTCTCCTGACAGGCTGGGACCACCCCCCAACCCACCTTACCTCGGTTTGCAGGTGATTTGGCCTGAATGCCCCCCACCCCTCCACATAACCCACATAGTGGCTCATTGCTGCCATCTAGTGGTAATCATGAGTACTGCGGCACCCAGGCACCCCTGTTTTTTTGCTATTGACAAAGACTGTATTCAGGTGTCACCAGCAGGGCCAACTCTCTATTGACTGGTATTTGGAATAATAATAGTATCTATCTATCTATCTATCTATCTATCTATATATCTATCTATCTATCTATCTATCTATCTGTCTGTCTATCTGTCTATCCATCTATCTCCACCTATCTATCTTTTTTTACATGAGCCTGATCTGAATGGTTCATGTTACCCAGTGGTCAGTTTAAGTCCAGTTACAGATGACTGAGAAAGATAAGTTATAATGATTAGCTGTCCACCATCTCACCTGTGGGGGGCGCCGCTAACCCGGTCCCACCAATTTGGTGAAGGTGGAGATTCTCGCTGAACAGGTTCTCCCACTCGGTCCGAATGACTATGTATAAGTGCAGGTGGCAGACAGCAGGTGGCGTTCCGGCTAAGGAGGCAGATTAGATGCGGGAAGGCATTTCATTAGCATTCTGTGAGTGGTTATGCCTCTGTAGCCTTGTATAAGATACTCAGGCTAAATCACTTCAGTAAGAGATCCTGCATAAATCGGTACAAAGGGCATTTCAAATGTTCTGGGTCAAATAGAAAGAATTTTCTAGTCTCCCCCAGGACCCTGGAATGTATGATTGCCCCACCATCCCAGGGTGAGGTGAAATGCAGGCTGGGGGGTAGATCCCACTGGTGACAGAATATTCTAGAATCAGCTGCGCACAGAGGAGTAGAAACCTGAGGGTGGCGCTACAGAGTCAGCTCCATGCTCGCATGGTGTTTCTGGCTCCTCGCTGCCTGTCTGCCTGTAATGTGACTTACTGATGTGTATTATGGCCTCTGGGCCGCGGTCTGTGTTCGACCTTCCAGCGACCTCCCCATGGTGGCGCCACAGAGCCATTAGGGTGGGATGTCAAACAGCTAAACAATTCCCAGGGTAAGAGACAGTTAGACCTTGTTATACTCTTGAATGCAAAGTATGAATTATTTTTCAAAACTGAATAACACAAATTGCATGTGCACTTCTGCTCTGCATTTTCTTAAACACCACACCACCTGCTGGCTAGGAAGAGGTATAATTTTTTTCCAGAGGTTTTTCCCTTAGGCTGCCTTTATGGTGATGAAAGGGAATGGGCTGGAAGAAAGTGTCAGGAGGTGCTGCTACACACAGACACACACACACACACACACACACACATATTTACAGGCTGCTTTGCCCCCCAACGCAGAACATCCGCAGGGCCCCAGCTGTCGGCTGTGATGAGTCCGTTCCAGCCACCTCTTTTCTATCATCTCTTCCAATCTCTCTTTGGTGTCAGCCGTCACCCAGGCTGCTTGTCGCAAAACAACGGAAGCGGAAAATTGGCCCAGTGCCTGGGATGCATTTGTGAGCAGTCGCGTCGCTGAGTGCCCTGCTGCACTGGCAAGGTCAACCTGCCCAGGAGGCATCCAATCATATTTTACTCCGAATAAAGCTGGGGTAGAGAAAATCTCCACACAAATTAATCTTTAACCACTATGCCACCTGTAGGAGTGAAGGAGTATTAGACCAAAACAAGATACAGCGAGAGGTGTGTTGTCAGGCGTCCCGTGCAGACAGACCCACCTGTAGGGCCCAGAGAGACAGACTACATGGGATTTCAAACATTCACCCAAATCTTCCTCAAACACCATCTTTCTTCCTTTTTTTTTGCTGCCACAAAAACTTGTGACTGCTTTTCCCAAAAAGCACAATGGGTGCTTAGATCTGATCCACTGCATAATAGACGGAAACTCAGCAATCCCCCCCACCCCCACCAAATCCCATTATGACCCCCCACCCCTACCCCACAGCATTGAGCCTGAAAACCAGACCTGAGCCAAAGGCGGTGAAGACCATGGAACAGATCCACAGTGGGTTTACCCAGGGTCCAGGTTCACAGACGCTCAGCTGGGGTGTGGACACCCTGACAGATTGGAGGGGCCCCCAGCTCAGCAAAAGGTACCAGGAGGGACCCCAGAAAGGGCCCAATGTGACATTTTGTCAGGGGGTCCAGAATTTCTCGCTACACGCCTGTGTGTAACAGGACATCTTTGTTAATTGGCTTGCCAGTGACAGACGTGTGGCCAGACCTTGGCCTTCTGCAGTGGATGGGCCCAGCTTAATTAATTATCCCTGCCTGACACACTTTGCCCTCTGGAAAAGCGTCTACTGGCTATACTCTTCAGTAAGAAGGATGAATAAAGGAAAGGATGCCAGAACATCCAGTGACACTTTGTAATGGTATTGTTTGATGTGCAACAGTTAGCATGAATAGAATGAAGATGAAACTTTTTTATTTACAACATTGGACACAACAGACAGTTTCGCTGTTTTATTTCCTTAGAATTGTAATGTGAAAAAATGTTTTTGTTTTTTTTTTTTTAACTGTTGCTAATAGGGCTTTAGTTGTTGTTGTTGTTCAGTCATAGCTGTACCAGGAGTTACCATGAGTCGACAGCCGTTCTATTTCAACAGAGCATGAGGCATGTAGGTCACTGCTGTAAGAATGCAGTAAAACCACATTAATAATTAGGTCTTTTGGAGCAGGACCTAAAGCTGCTTTCATGCAGTGTTTGGAACGCTAGCGTCTGAAAAGGGCAGGTCAGGACACCCGCATCCCCCCCATGTCCCCGCGAGACTCTTTTCAGTATTTGCTCCAAAAAATGCAGTTTATGTGAAATGGTCTCTCTAAATTACTTTCTTGTGTGTGCCTCATGAAGGACTGGTCTCCAGGGACTACCTCGCACCCATAGCCTCCAGGATAGGCTCCAGACCCCTTGCAACCCTTAAGAGGACAAGCGGTTACAGAAAATGATGGATGGATGGATGGATGGTTTCCAGCATAAGGTTCACTATACTTTTGAGCTAGAAAATTGACAATAAATACATAATACTTATACTGGAATTCTTTCTTTGGTAAATGTGTCGTTTTCCTGCTACGGTTCACTCATTCAGAAACTGGAGTGCCATGCTTATTTGCGATGCTGTATTATGCTGCCATCTAGTGGAAGATTACGGTAATTAAAAGTTTTTTTTGTTTGTTTTTTTTAAATAGAAAAAAAAATGTGATGTCTCATTACTCCCGTTGATTGCGGTCGTAAGATTAGTGCGCACAAATAAAACTAGGACTCGTGCTGGGAACAACATGCAGAAGAGAGGCGAAGATTAGCAAAGGAGAGAGCAGATGGCTGAGAGTTTGACAGTAGTAAGCCAGGCGCGGTACGCAAATTTATACAGATGTTCGTTGTACTGTTCACAGTGCTGCATGCTTGTTTATCGGTGCTCTGGTGTTTACACTCTGGATACTACATCGAACAAGAAGTGGCTCATGGCCACTGAAAGGCGGCTGGAGTCTAAATCTGTCAGCACAAGCTAGATGCCTACTGTATTTGGCGCTAGGAATTTTAGCTAATTGTGGATATTTTTATTTGCAGGAACTGAACCTCAGAAAGCTATTCGTTGATATTCTTACTGGTACAGCTGCTTGTCCAGTACAGATATTATTTGTACCCAGTAGATCCACTAGTGGGTAATTCACAGCTGCTCTGATAGGCTATTCGAAAGTCCATTTCATACCAGCTGAACATGGTTCTGGAGCTTTACTGGAAAGCCCTGTTGAAGTCTCAGATGGGCTCATACCTTAGCTGGACGCAGCCCAAAAGCAGGCGCGAGAAGACAGTTGTCGATGAAGCTCCAGAAGATCGCGGCCAGTCGGACCCGCCTATCCCAGTCCAGGTACCTGTGACATCAGTCGTTGCTGCTGCTGTGTCTCTGGATCTAACTGGTTGTTTGTTCAGGGTCGGCCCTAGGCGTTCTGGCGCCCTAGGCGAGATTCTGCTGAGCGCCTCCTTACCCCCTTACAGCAGCAGATAATAAATTCTGTCAATTCGTTTATATGAAAAACACTTCAGCAGCATATGGTATCTGACTGCTACCTAGCTAGCTCGCGTCTGTTTCATAAGAAAAATAATTAAATATTAAAACTAGTGTAAATAACTGTAATGTAACGGAGCGCAACCAGAGCTATTCTGATATTTTTTCATTCCCCCTTTTGCGCCCCATACTCAAACGGCGCCCTAGGCGATCGCCTATGTCATGTAATGGGTGGGCCGACCCTGTGTTTGATGCATTCAGCATGTGGCTTTGGCTTCAGGTTTAGCTGAGTTGTGTTTGGAGTTGACCCTGAGTCTTAGCTGACTTTCTGTGCTGCTTGAAATCTTGGTTGAGCGGACCAGGTTTTTATTATCTCAGCCTGTACACCTCGTAAACCTACCTACCAATTGTGAAACCAAGACCAGTTAGGTATTTAAAATCCAGCTTTACTCGAATTTTACACGAGATGCTGGGAGTGAAAGACAACAAAAAGGCAATTTTAATAACAATTATGACAGCATGTATCATTTTTGAGTTACTTGTTCAGGCATTTAATGAGCTTATTTCTCTGGCGATCTTTGAGTTCGCTAATTCCCCACGTGATGAAATTACGGTGGGATGCCAGTAAGAGGTTGAATTAGGCTATTAGCTCTGCCACAGCACATTGACCTTCTTTCTTTCCCGGAAAATGATGTGAGATTATGTTTAATTCGCAGGCAAAACCCCACCGATTACATGTGCACTGCCAGCTATGTCTTAGAAGAATGAGTAGAGGAAATGGCCCCAATTGTAGTTTGGCACAATCTGCTTAGCCTTGACCGTGAAAATGAGTTTGTATGGAGATCAAAACCAACAAACAAACACATTATAAAGCAGACTAAATACGTATCATTAGGACAAAGGGGGAGGGACTCAGCTAGGCAGACCCCCCGACACGCCAACATACACACACAAACACACCTGCAAATCCCTGGTGACCTGCAGTACAGCAGATGTGACGTGATGGCACATGTGAGACTTGAAGGCTGACGTCATGCTTTTTATACATCATTAACGTGTGCTGCTCTCACTGTGCGCAGCACGCATTATGCTTAACAGATATGGTCAATATGTTTAAACCCGTACTGTGTTTTTTCCTCTAATTTATGGAGCTTTACAAGCTGTATAAATAAATCTAGATAGACGCGGGGCTAGGATATGTAAATTAAATTATAAATACTCTAACAAGGTTACCCTGGATAATGTAACACACTTCTGACAGGCAAGTATATTGGAGTTCGGTGGCTATCAGCCCGACGATTGGCTGATCCCGGCAGCGACGTGGTGACGTACTTGCCTACTGTAGACGAACGTGCCCCCCCCCATCCCCCTCCTAATCCACCCAGTCGGGAGATATGGCTGAGAGGGCGGCAAGATGCTGCGAGTCAAAGCGCAGCGTAAAAAGCAGCAGGGTCGCGTGAAAACGGGATCGCTTTATTTCTGGGCACGGAGGAATACTGAGGATTAGCGAAAGGTAAGACACCGAGAAGCACCCTCCCCCCCAAAAAAAACTTTTATTCCTGAAAGGGGAAATCTCATTCTAGTCAATGGATCCATTTGTTAATTGTTCAGTTTCCGTATTTGGATTTTTTCCGGCCTTGGTGAATATGCAGTCTGACACTGATATTGGTGTACGTGATGATGGTGGAGCTACCATTGACATTGGATGGATGCACGAGCGCGGGTCCCACATGCAGCACCGCTTTAATTAAAGGGATGAGGCATCTTCGGTCCCGGTACCAGGCGGCGCCGCGCTTCTTCCACGCTGTGTGCTGTAATCCGCTTTCACACCCATTGAGTGCCCCGTTTTTAACTTTCACATTCTCACGACACAGTTTTATTATTATTATTATTATTATTATTATTATTATTATTATTATTATTATTGTACTGACGGAGATGTACTGTTGCATCTCTTACCCGAATCGCTTTTGAACATCGAATAAAACCGGACACGATTTATTACGCGTTTTGGTGACACGCTCGTCCTAACAGCTTGGATCGCAACGAGACGCCGCTCTGTGTGCACGAACACGGGGGCATACTTTATGTCAATATGTTCACAATGTTTTATATAAATGGGCAATAAAACGGATAGGTGAAGCTGTCGTACGCCGCGCTCGGAGGCGGTCCGTCTGCCGTCCCTTTACATTAAGGACAGGAGTACACAGTGTGTGGTGGATGCATTACGGCAGATGGAGAATCGTTCCCATCAGCGCTGATTGAGGGTGTTGACTGGAGTTGGAACATGGTATTGAGAGGGCGGAGGCATTGGGACTGCCTTAGTGATCTCCGGATGTATGAGGAGCCCTGCCAGGCTTTCCTAGGTTCAGTCGCTGTGTTCACACGCTGTGTTACGTCTGTAAGCCCGTGATTTGGAGGAAGCCCCGCCCAGGCAGGTGTATTCCTAAATTCAACTCTGTTCTTGGCGCTCTGTTCCCTGGGGGTGCAGGTGCGCAGCGCACAGTCCCAGGGCATGTCTCTCAGCACCAGCCCTTGACCTGTACCTGACATACGGGTCATATTTATTCCTGCCCTGACTCGGTATGTACCCTGGGGTCAGAACTCGGATGGTCAGGAGGCACAAAACCCAATCAATACCACTGGCCGAATGAGAAGTGGACTTAGTAAGAAGAGAAAAAAAATCTCTAACTATGTATACAGTGGCTGAGAGAGCATAGGAGTCTGGGTGTTTAAAATGTCTGGCTGTCACCAGAAGGTCATTGGTTCACAGCCCAGCTGTAATACTGTGGTGTAAGTCATCAGCAAGGATGTTCTCATCATCACTTTTTCTGAGATATGAGTCACCAGCCTGTCAGGAGTGTTTGTGTGTGTGTGTGTGTGTGTGTGTGTGTCTGCGTGTGCTCGTGTGTGTGTCAGCAGTGATCAAAGCAGGACATGCAGTGAACTCAGAAAGAAGCCAAAGAAGGGGCTTTTCTCCCTGGGATTCCTTACGTAATGTTCCCATTCAGGTGACTCGCGCCCTATATACTTGTGCTGTCCTCACTTTCCCGCAGAAATATATAAAGGATAGCACTCTGCTGTATTAATGATTGTATGGCAGATGGACCCACGTTTCCTACTCCGATTGCATATTTAAATGTGCCCCGCGTCTGCGGAGGAGTGTTCGCCATGGGAGTTAATGCGACAACATTTGCGCTTTAAACACTCAATGGGGAGCGAGTCCCCGGGTGCTGAGTCACACAGCATGATGGGTAATTTGTTTTCCGCCTCACCCGCAGCTTGCCGGGGAGGAGGACCGGCCGTCATCCACACAAGTGCCGCCCACCTGGCGCTGCCGCCTGCCACCGAGGAAGACGGCAGAGCTGGAAGAGATGGCCACACCCCTTCTGCCGCTGCCCGCCCCCTTCGGCCGGGCCTTGCACGGGATTGGTACTGGCAGCTCCAGGACCCGCAGAGCCGCCTCCCTGGACAGCATGTCAGGCTCCTCCCCACGTCGGGTGCGGCCAGCGGAGGCTGCTTCCCTCCCCCAGAGGCAGAGCCCCTCGCCCCGCACCCGCCTCCGGGTTCGCGGCAGCTCCGTGGAGTTCTCCAGCAGCCCGCGGGCCGGCTGGGAGGAGAGGCCGTTCCTGCCCACTGTCCTGGGCTATGAGGTCATGGAGGAGCGGTCCAAGTTCACGGTAGGAGGACAAGATTCCCTGCTTCGTTCGGCACACCCCACACTCATGGATGGCCACACCCACCATCTGAGCCCCCGCCCATTTTTGTAAAAACACTAGGCCTCGATGTCAGTGAGGTGGACGGAGCTTAAAGCATTAAACCCGGATGGCAGCTTCCGTCTGTGCGGAGTGACCTCTGACCTCTGAGTGAAAGGGGAAGTATGTCTAGCTGGTACATCCATGCTCTTCACATCTGGCTCATGCTTTTATTAGATTTACTAGGAGTTTTAAGATCGCTCTCCAAAAATAACTATATCCAATTTCAGGGCTGAAAGGCTTCCATTATTTATGTTGTTGCCGGTAGGTTCCGTGCTAAAAGGTCTGTACCGCAGAGTCTGTCAGACTCTGCCAGGATGGACATATACCTGTCTGGCTGCCAACGCGACCCCCCTCCCTCCCGAGGAAGCTGTTTGTCCTCTTCAGATTCCTGTATGTGGTTGTTGTTGGTTTTATGTATTTATTCACTCCTTTGAAGGGTTCTTTGCTCCTACTGCGTGGAATTGCACTCCTCGTGTGTTAGGAGTGTGCTGCCATCGCACGCCAGTCGTCCATGCTTACACTCTGAATGTGTAATGCCTGCAAACGGTCACAGTCCACATGTATCCTGTGAGGATGACCCTCTGTTTGGGTGATCTCTCTCTATCTTCCATCCACTTAACCAGCATGGCTTGGTCTTCCAGTTTTGTATTTTTGTCACTTGCTCCTGTAGCTCAGCAAGTAGAACAGTGCACTAATGACGGGGCCCACACATTGTTATTTGTTAACCTTCCTGCCCATTTAAACACCTGAAAACAAATCCTGTCCCGGGACTTGACCCCAAAACCTATGGGTCCATGTCCTTATACACTACACTGGCCATACTATCAAAGCATCTCTCCAAGCAAGGGGTTCACATCTCCTGTGAACTTTCCACAGGTCTACAAGATCCTGGTGCAGAAGTCACAGCAGGAGAGCTGGGTGGTCTTCAGGAGGTACACAGACTTTGCCAGGCTCAATGACAAGGTAGGCCCCTGGCATATCTTGGGGTTCAACCTGTACTTTCTGTCTCTGGCTTTTGAGGTTCCACATCTCCCTAATTTTTCGTCATGGAATTAAGCTGAAGCTGGTTGCTTATAGTCATGGAGGATCTCGTCTTCATCCCAGATCCCACATAAATTGTTATTCCAGGACACTTCCTACCAGATGCAGAGCCTGACATGTTAGTGTTTTCTAGGATGGTCTAGGTCAGGTTAAGGTCCAGGTCCAAAGATTCAAAGGATGATCTTTCTTGGGAGCATTCCGACTGCAACTCCAATACCCAAACCCCCATCCCTCCTGATGCCCCAGTCATTCCATTAAAAGCTGGTGAAATTGCGTGGTACCTCTCAGAGTCCAGGAAGCATGATCCAATCGCAGGGCTCTGCCTGCTACAGGCAGACTCCGCTACTGGTGCAGAGTCGGCAGATGCTGACAGGCATTTAGCTGACACTGGGGGGTGTTGCAGGAAGTCCAGTTCTCCTCCGTTTATCGCCAACTGCAAATGAACATGTGGCAGCTGCTGGTATCTCCAGGGGCTTCTGCACACTGCAAAGCTGTGTCAACCTGATGTTTCCTCTGGAGGGTGTGATTGTGTCTGAGGCCTGTGAGACACACACACACACACACACACACACACACCTGCAGTCACAGGACTGGTCCTCTGGTGACCCTGTATGGCATGATGCAATGCAATGCCTCTGACTGCAGCATCTTCTGTGATTCATCATTGCCCTATTTATGCAGCTTAGCATAATTCGACAGGCCATACACTGGCCTTCAGTCTGGCTCTTTGACCGTGACACCACCTGCTGATCCGTCTGTGTCTGTGATTCCAGCTGAAGGAGATGTTCCCCGGCTTCCGTCTCTCCTTGCCGCCCAAGCGCTGGTTCAAGGACAACTACAACAGCAGCTTCCTGGAGGAGCGCCAGCAGGGCCTCCAGACGTTCCTGCAGAACCTGGTGGCGCACAAGGACGTGGCCGGATGGTGCTCGCTCTCACCTCTCCACCCTCACTGACGGGGCATATGTTCTATGGTCATTCCTACAGCCCAATCCCACAGCTCCATTAAAGCACATTTTCAGATGACAATCCATTCAGTGTCCTCAAGCACCTTTTCACTCTGATTTTGTTACTGTGTTACATCTCCCCCTGGCTACTCGGAGGAGGAATTATGTCCCTGTAGAGTTACCATAGCAGCCGAGGCCCATCAGCCTTTTCTAAGCCCTGGAGGGACATTGTGCTTCAGTCAAGTGTTTTCGTCTCTCTAGTGTCTTCACCCTCTCATTTATTCAGCCCCCGCCATGCACACAGTGTGTTGCCCAGCTAATCACGTGCACCTCATGCCCTGCCTAACGAGCCATGCTTACTGTCCTTTGTGTGTACCTTCAGCTTGCCAGTTCGAGACTTCCTGTGTCTGGACGACCCCCCAGGTCCATTTGACAGCCTTGAGGAGAGCAGAGTACGGCACCCAGCACCTCTTTCTGAAATGTTCACACTCTGGTTCCTGTAATGTTTGCGCTTAGGTTCTGGAATATTCATAGTCTGATTTCAGAATTTTTGCACTCTTGTTTCCAAAATGTTCAGGTTCTGATTCCAGAACGGCCATGCACTGTTTTTGGGCTGTTTACATTCTGGAATGTAGAGTGAGTGTTTGGTAAGGGTTAGGGTTCTATGACGCGCCTTATTCTTCCTTCTTGTCCTCGGCACAGGCCTTCTGTGAGACTCTGGAGGACTGTAACCACCGGCTGCAGAAGGAGCTGCAGGAGAAGCAGCGAGAAATCAACACTCTGCGGAAGATGCTCAATGAGCAGCAGCTTCACATCAATACGCTGGAGCGAGCCCTCCGGTGAGTCATGGACCTGGGGGGTGTGGCTTTGGGTGTCAGGTCTCATTCACCGAAACGTATATGTCTGTGGTTTGCACAGCAGAGAGTCCCTGACCCCCGGAAGCTCCTGCCAGTTCTCCATTCAGGGTAGCGAGAGCAGCGTGGATGAGAACGCAGACGGGGATGTGGAATGCTCTGCAACAGAGGCGGACCAGGAGATGGATGAAAATGGCAGGTATTTGCCTAAATATCGCCCCCTTCTGGCTGTCTGTGATTTCATTTCACCCATTTCTTACAATGCACAGGAGATAGACAGAACATTCCAGATTCGTACCACGTCCTCCACATTAATCAGCATGCCCACTCTGTCAGCAGTATTGCAAACCGCCCAGTGCTCGGCATTCTAGGATTGATTCTCCGTGGATGCTTATTAACTGAGAGTGCCGCAGTGCCCCCTCCCGCATGCCTGCATGTCTGTGGGGGGGGGGGCTTAAATTCAGTATAAATACTGCAGGGAAAATGATGCTCCACTAGCCTCGTTTCTCAAGCATCCAGGAGGTCTTGGCGAAACTCTGTGGCGCTCCGCAGGTCTAATGCCCAGGGGCGCCGTAAGGGGGAGGAAAGCTAGGACGATTCCAAGGGCCCCTGAGTGACAGGGGCCCTAAAAAATTAGGAAAATAACTGGATTGGTTTGGACTGGGGGGCCTAATATGATATGCTTTCATGGGGCCCAAAATCTCTAGCAACGCCCCTGCTAATGCCTGTATTGCGTAGGCTAAGACTAACAAGTGCCTATGTGGTTAGCGGCTGTGCTAGTCCTCGAAAACCTTTTAGCTGGTTACCTAGGCACACCAACTGCATGGTCTCCTCTCTTCCGCTCTGCGGCTAACACGGTAACACATCCAATGGTTATGTATCTATGTGGTTAACCACTATGCTAATTGCTAATTGGAGGTTGAGGCAGGCACATTGGCTATCGCGGCCTCCCTGTGGCTAACATGCTAACACGTCCAACATTTAAGTGTCTATGTGGTTAGTTGCGATGCTCAGCATCGCTTTGGCCCTGGTCCCCAGGAGGTTGAGGCAGGCACATTGGCTATCGTGGCCTCCCTGTGGCTAACATGCTAACACGTCCAACATTTAAGTGTCTATGTGGTTAGCTGCTATGCTCACCAACGCTCTGGTCCTGGTCCCCAGCAGTGGGTTGCACCAGCGAAGCACAAGTTCGATCTTAGCTTACAATGGACATGAACTGCCCCTAGGTACTAAAAATTAATTGGTTGAAGTTTTAGTTATGGTTTTAACGGAGCACAGTTATACTGTAAATTTTACACTACCTTAGCATTAACTGTAAGGTCCATCATAACAAAAAGTGGTGAAAATGGCACAAATGTGAATAACCCTTTTTATTTTTAACCTGTAATAATATAATGTTATCAGTAATAATTTTAACAATTTGTTACCTTTTCTGTTGATTTAGGATAAAACATTGTCGCTGGGTTGATATATCAGCCTTAGTCTAGTGAGCTAATGAGCTAGTGAGAGAAATGCGCTGCTCTGCCGTTATTTGTTTTGCCTGAACCCTGTTTGTATTCATTGATCTCATGTAGCAGAACGACTGTCAAGCACCTAAAATACATGTCTATCTAACTTTGCCACAAATTTGATAAACATATTAGTGGTATAACAGACCCTGATTTATCTGTACAGATTCCCCCACCCCGTATGTGAACCGTGGATTAACTGCAAAGTTTAACCAAGAAGGTGTGAAAGTTTTATTGCCTCTGTCACTTTCTAACAATTTCTATTCTTCTGAGAACTTGTTTTGTGATCTTGAGAAAACAACTTTGGCTATATTGAGATCATGAGGAAAATAAGCTGTAATCTCGACATAAGGCAGAAAATGACAGTAATGTATGTCCTCTATGGACATCGGTCCGATGCAGTTGCAGTGAAAAGATACAGACAAAGCAGTTTGTGTGTTCATGAAAACGGGCGTGTTCAAAGTTCCGCGCTTTGAGTTTTCTTTCAGTTCTTTAAGTAATAAATGGAAAGCAAAGTTTTTATGTTTTGCTAATACGAAAAATGATTTGATCCGTGACTCAAATACATATGAGCCAATTTGTGAGTTTTGTGATCCATTGCCCCCCTAAACCATTCCCAGCACTATCAGAGCTATTCATCACAGCTGTATTTTAAATAATTCTCATAAATACAGAGAAAACAAATCGGTAGCTATGTATAACCCAGACTCAAAAACATGTGGAACAGCCAGTTAATTCCGGTAATATCAGACAGTGATATTGATTGGTTGTCCACAGTGAAAATGCCATTATATGCGACAATATTTTTATTTAGTAGCTACTAACTTTGATGTAACTTAAATAGGAGTTGTGCAACAGACAAAGAATGCGGCGTGAGTTTCAATCTAGCTAGTTTCAACGTAGGACTTAAGGTACAGTACACTTTACACCCGACGTTACGATTGAGCTTAAGCTAAGCTGGTGCAACCCACTGCAGGAGGCTGAGCCAGGCACGCTGGCTAACACGGCCTCCTCTCTTTTTCTCTGTGGCTAACATGCTAACACATCCAAAGGTTAAGTGTCTATTTGGTTAGCCGTTATGCTAAGCATCGCTCTGGCCCTGGTCCCCAGGAGGCTGACCTACGCACGCTGGCTAACACGGCCTCCTTTCTTTGTCTCTGTGGCTAACATGCTAACACGTCCAAAGGTTAATTGTTTATGTGGTTAGCCGTTATGCTAAGCATTGCTCTGGCCCTGGTCCCCAGGAGGCTGATCCAGTTATGCGGGCTAACGTGGTCTCCTCTCTTCCTTGCAGCTGCAGTGTTCAGACCTCCAGGCGTTCATCCTGCTGGTGTGGGCCAGCCATCAGTGGCTCCCCGCCCACCATGCAGTTGTCTACCGGCCAGCTTGAGTACTGACCCCCTCCCACCAGACCTCACTGCCTTCCAGTCCCCTCCTAGCAGACCTTGGGTGTCATCGATCCTGCGTGCAGCGATGGACAAAGGGCCCTCCCTCCCTGTTCATTAACCGTGGATCCCAGACACGGGACTCTGTGATCCTTATGTACCCCAAACCTCACTGCACGCAGCATTGCAGGAAACACAACCTGTTGGTCTTCACGGGTTTGATGGATGGCCGTTACCACGGTAAGAACATCCCTGGTAATTATGGTGATAGAAGGTTTATGCTCATGTCCTTGAATGGATCTACTGACCAGGGTAATGATGTAAAGGTGTCCTAGGGTTTAAGAGGGGCAGAAGAGGAGGAGCTCTGATAGTGCTGGGAATCAGCTGATGCCTGGCATCGACCAGCAGGTGGCACCAGTTCTCAGCCATATGGAGGCCCGCAAGCCGACCAAAAGACCTGCTTGACTGCAGATGTTTTTTTTTTTTATTTATTGTGTGTGTGTGCGTTGTCAAAAAATGAATTGAACATTTCCGCTAGAATTGATTGGAGTGTTCATTATTTTTCCTGTTGGCAACATTGTGCATTTTCCTTTTAAGTGTTACACTAATCCCAGGAATCCATTTAATGAAAGTGACCCTTAACAAGGCTGAGGCCTCCAGCCTTGAACGGAAGGCAGGACTTGAACCTTTAATCTCCCTTAGTCTGGGCAGAAGGCTTCCATCGATCCCGCGCTGCCGCGCAGTGCTGAATGCTCTTAACGCTGTCAGGGCATTTGATTTATACTCGGGTTCACTTTTTTATAAAGAATTTTATACTACAACAAAGTAAAATGTTTAGTGACATAAACTAGGTAACGATGTCATGTAGTTTATATAAAGATACTAGCAAAAAAAATAAAACTGATTTCTGCATA